GCGCTTAGGATCTATAAAATACATACGCGTTGATTACACAATATAATCTCTTCTTTATTTATATATATTCGAAAGTAGACGAATAAAAATGATATATTAATCATAATAAAAAGTGCATGTAATAATATGATTTTTTTAAATTTTATTTTTTTTTTGGGGGGGGGGGAAGTAAAAAATCTCTATGCTGCAATCTATACATGTTTACAAAAACAGCTTAAAATATTTAAACTTACCTTAAGTAATTGTATATTTTTTTTTATTCAGAGGGAATGCAGTGGTTTTAAAATTTTAATCTAAACTTTATCTGTGAACAACTTTTCAATTTTTCTTGCCTGCTGGTGTACACAATTCGTCAAATAATCTAAGAAATCTTAAACAAGGCTTAGGCAAACTGCCCTATTTCGGATGTATGCGGGAACAAAATAAAATAAGTGGATGTGTAACATATAATTAAGTGTGATTGGATAAAATAGAGAAAAACGTCAGGTGTTTTATGTGACAAGAGGATTTCAATATGAAACTAAAAAGTAAGACCAACCAAGCTCGTTGAGAGGGAAGGGAAGCTGGGGTTATGGCACTAAGGCTCGTGCTTCAAAGAGGCCCAGGTCCGATTAAAGCAACCAGGTCCTATAATTTGCCTAAATTGCCGTTTGGACACGTCATGAGGAAGTAGGAATCAGAAGCAGTAAGAAATGTAATAAAAATAATCGTAGAAAAATGAGGAGAAGAGGAACATCGAAACTGAAAATTCCAAACAATTGCATACAGCTCGGTAGGCTGTTTTTAAAACATAGTAAGCGTTACTTTGAAATTTGTTTTTACATTAATATTTCAGGATGAAATTATTCACGAATGTTATTAAGCCAGTGGTGTTTAACACGAAAATTTCTCGCTCTCATAACCTAATCTCACCACCCCCGTTCCTCTAAATACAACTTATGATAAACCTCGTCTAAAATGTTCAAGCATTTCTGTTTGGCAAAACAATTTTATCCAGATATAACCAAATGAAAACTAGTGCTTATAAATAGCTTAAAAATCGCCAGAATGTTTTGAAAATTAATTGTTATAAAACATATTAGAAAAAAAAGACATCCTAGGATAATGAAGATAAATGCAGCCACTATTAAAGATAATTTAATGAAAACCTGTAAGTAACAATAAACCATTGCTTTCGAAAAAACGATTCTGAGCGAAGTTTAGTTGATAGTGATATTTTGTCAACAAAATATATGTTATTTTATAGTAAATAATTAAATAGGCTTTGTATATTTTCCTTAATATTTGTTTAATGTTGTACCGATTTTCCCAATTTTTTCATGTTTTATACCGGTTTTTCACATTTGCTGAAACATTGCTATTATTAAAAGTTGGAGTAAAATTGCTGGTAGAAAAGTTGTTCACAGAAAAAAAGAAGACTATACTATATTTTAACTAATACCTAAATTTCTTTTATTTTCCCATTTTTTCCGGTTTTCAAATTTGATGAGAAAACTCTTGAGAAAATCGAAAAATCTCTCCACATCGATTTCCTTTCAGAAACGGTGCTATACTCAGAAATCAAAGCAAGTCTTCTGGTAAAAAATTTGTAAACAGATAAAGAAAAAATTAATAAAAAAATAAACGTCTTTATAAAACCATCAACTTTACTCCACTCAGAATTTAAAGAAGAAAATAATGACACTTTTATACGCGTAAATTTGTTAATTTTTCTTACACGTTTTATCCGGGTTTAAACTACTTGGAAAATCAAAAAAACAAAGTCCAAATGCATCAACTAGATCCAAAATGCTAAACAAATATATCTTGTTTTTTTTTTTATTGAAGAAAGATTTTTTAACAAACAGAAAAAAAAACCATACAATTAACTTTTAACGAATTAACTCATTAAATTGTCCAGTCTTAATAATTTAAACAAAATAACGTATTTAAAGTTTATCAGTTGTATGTAAAATTTTCTTGTAAATGGTCTAAATCCTAAACCAAGTTCCTAAATCAATGTAGATGATAACTACAGTTCAACTCAATAACTGAAATTGAGTAACTTACCCAGCTTTGAGAATAGGTAGGTACCTACCTATTGGTTACACAGGGTTCCTGAACTAATACTTAATCAGTATTGTAAGTAAAAGTAATTTCATAATTAGAATATCTACCTATTTTTCCCAGGCGCGCCACTGATATTTCATACTTGGTATTGGTTACATCATTTTTCTATGTGGTTTCAATTTCCAGTTGAAGTCCTATGTTTTAATATTTATTAAGTATCCTATTTAATTTGAGAAGAAATGTAGTTTACAGGTTTTTACAGTCGATTTGTGAATTAATTTAACAAAAAATGTTTTAAAATAGATACAATATACTCACATTTTATTGTGATTTCATTGGCGGTTGAATTGACCGGTGTGAATTGTGTAATATTAAATATACAATGCACAAATTGAAATAAGTGTCGATTTAACGAAAAGATTTGGATGTTAAATCATGTAATCTATAAACTAAAATATAATACACGAGATGATCATGATTTATATTTATTTAGTTACCTACTGCGACATCTAGGTATTAACTATGTAGAAATCTTTACTGACTTTAGGAACTTCGGGGGTATTATATAAAATCATATTTTTATTTGGTTACGTTACGCAGTTACGGCAAAACGATAATTTTCAATATTATTTGCGTGTTTCGTAATCACCGGATCTCATATAAACTTGAAAATATTTTTAAATAATATTATAGTCATAAGAAGGTTGACGCCAGTTAACCTAAACATAATACAAATTTATCGATTTATTAGATTCGTACCGTTTTCGAACTATCGCGCTATCTATCCATAGATTATCGCATACTTTTTGGTTCAAAATGCCTCGACCGGTGTACTGAAGTCATGAGTGATGAAATATAAATAATTAATTTTATTAATAAATCGCGGTTCAAACGCTTTAATTCTTTTCGTGTCATTTAGATCTTGAGGGTCTAGTTGACCGAGAAACTAATATTGAACCATGTGGATTAAGTTAACCACGGGGATCGAAATGGCCGATGATGATTATCTAGGTCACGGTCTTAGAAGATAAGGTCGGACAATTATACCTTATCAGCATTCCGTTGAGTGAGGCGAATTAATTTCCAAATTGTACCACTGTAAAATTGAATGCTACCCTACGAACTTATTTTGAAGTTATGATATTATACTACTTTAAAATAACCATGAACCACAGTTATATATAATATAATATATTATACTAGATAGCCGACTTCGTATATTATTGTATGCTTAGCCGTTAGCCGTCATTTGTAAATAGGTTAATGTTTGCTAAAATAGACCTAGTAAATAAGGTAGTAAGTAAAATACCTATTGGATCTATCTACCTATATAATATTCACAATTCCAATATTTTCAATTATTCTAATTAAATAGTTTTTGAAATTTTTTTCAAGTGAATTATTTAAAGATTCATCCAAGGAATGTGCTTTAACAAGTACTTATATGTATTTTTGTATTTTTAAAAAGTTTATTTTTTATACATAAGTATTTTAAGTTTTTGAGAATTTGGGAGTTTTTTTAAATTTCTATTACATTTATTTTTTTTTTTTATTTTTTTGTTGTCAAAATTGCTCCAAACCTCATTCGAATATAATAAATCACAAATTAAATAACATCCCCACCATGACTTAGACATGGAAATTTTATTGTATTTTCAGACATCAAACCTATAATGAAGAGTTCAAATGCGTATGCGAATGAAGAATGTTTTATAAAACTATATACAATTTTTTTTGATTAAATCAAAGAATGTTTGTGCCTATTAATCGTCCCTTCGTTTTTGTGTTTACTAATAAAGAACACATTTGTTCAGGATAAACTTGTGGTGTTACAAAAGTTGACTTACAAGTATTGCAATCACCAATATATTTCAATATTTGTTTAGATAAATACTGTATAAACGTAATTAAATGATATTTAATAACATTTTACATATAATAATTAATGGCAAATGTATTTATAATATTTTGTTACATACCAGTTAAATAATATATTAGACAATCTATTACTTCAGTCTTTGAATAATTGTGTTCAACAACTTCATCAAATTCCCAATCTTTCTTTAATTATTTTATTTTATTTTTACTTTTAAGTTTTCAACTAAATTTGACTTCTTTGGTTTATAGATACCTTTTTCCATACGAACCTGTATGTCAAATATATTTACTGAGCAAATAACGTTTCCTAATTTATCAATGATATTCTTTGATCTTATTATTAGGTCGTCCCGAAAATGTTTTTCACAAATAACCTCGTTAACACTAAAATGATTCCTAAAGATTGTAGCCATTTCTTCTTTAAATGTTTATCTTTAGGAATATTAAAAATTGAGAGTTTCTCCGAGATGTCACAATGAGAGTAACAAATTACTACTTTAGTTAAAATAAAACACATTAAAAATCAACTACTTATGTATAAAATGGGTTTATAGTCGCTACTAGACAGCATAGACAAGTATACTAGATAGTAGACAATATTACGCAGTTTGCAATGTTTGTATCAGATTGTGTTAGAATTATCGATTACTAATATAAATCTATATAACATAAATAAAACAATAATATTATAATATAATAATTCAATCTTAGTAATTTGAATTATTTTTTTGGCGGGATGTTCTTAACCTCAAAATAAGTCTACCCAGCAGCACTTTTGCGGCAACACAGGAAACGTTTTTTCCTAATTAAGCAAAAATATTAAAATCGGCAGGAGGGTAGGAAGTTGTTCAACCTTATCTTCTAAGACCGTGTTCTAGGTGGATCACTGAACTAAATAATATAACCGCTGGTACCTATAAACCTGTTTACTTTCCATGTTCTATCGTGAATAATACTATCTGATACTAGATGGCAGTAATTTTGTCAGCTGATGGTAAACGAATATTGTTGTAAACACGACTTCTCTATAATTGTTTGTGATGATAAAATACTTTATCTTATGAAGTGATAACAAAAAGGAAAAAGGAAAAAATCAATAATATTATGATGCCATAGCAGACTGCAGAACATAGGCAAGTATACTAATTTCTGATCCTAAGAAGTAGAAAATGTATTAAATATTTGGTATACATTTATATTTTATAATATTGATAGATTATAATATTATAAAACAATGCTAATGTTACCTATATATTGATTTGGTTTTTTTTTTGTTTTTAATTATTATTCTTATACAAATAATTAACATGTATTTTAAAGTTTGAATTATAAATAGTAAACACCAGCAATTTATTTAATATATTTCAGATGAAATAAATTATGAGTTAAACTATCTACCTATTAGATAGGTATTTATTATTTATTAATATTTTGTGTGTAAAGAATATTGATTTAAAGAAGGTAAATATAATTTATATATTTAGTTTTAAACTTCAACGAGTAATATTATACCTAATTAATTTCATAGAAATGGACAACCAACAAATTTTAGAAAACACTGTTCCGGAATTTTTTGCGCTATCATATGCCGATCAAGTATTGGGTTCTAATTCTGATCAATTATCAGATTGCACTAATATTAGTAAGTAGCCAAACATTTTATCAAGTATAAAAAAGTAAAAATACTGCCCAAGCAATGAAAAAAATTAAAATAATTAACTCCCATTTTCTTGCTAAAAAATAAATATAAAAATAGAATTTCTCACTATAATTGAGATTATTGGATTTAGAATCTATAAAATATATTTGTTTCAATTCAAATACGTAGTTATGAATAGAGTATAATTAGTTAACTTAGATTGTATTTGAATTAAATTTTGATAATATATTTTTTGTTAGTTTTAGAGTCAAATAACTGTCATCTTAGTCCTATCAGCTCATTAAATGATTTGTTATTAGAAGAAACATTGACAATAGATGATCGATCTTTTTTTGTTGATGGTGAACAGGTAAACAATTTGATTTACATTTATCTATTTGTTTTAAAATGGTTTGTTTTTCATTTACAGTTAATTACCCTCAACCGACCATCTGGTTTGAATGAACAACAAAATAATGTCCATATAATATTATCTAATGAATCTGAAAAACCATTGGAAGATCAAGAACTTAGTTTTACTACAAATTCTGATGATTTTTTTCCAGATATAAACATAGATTGTAAGTTTTTTACATCCTTATTTTTTTAAAATAATATATAATATGTATCTAATAATTTTACAGTTAGTAAAATACACTCAGATAATAATATAGCAGAAACTATTGATGACTGTGATGATTTAACAGAACGTTTAGACATTTTGAGCAATATTAATATTGATGTAACTAAAAGTAATTATAGTAATTCAACGGCTATTCAAATTTTAGAAGATGTTGGCAACAGTCCTATTGATACAAATGTAAGTTGGTTATTACAAACATTTTTTGAATTATAATGTATAATTGATATGTTTTATTAAGGGTCATTTTGTATGCAATTTATGTTTACACGAATTTTATAATTGGCAAAATTACAAAAAACACAAACTAGAACATTTAAACGATAAACCATTCAAGTGTTTAAAATGTTTAAAATCATTTAATTATAATGTAAGTAAATATTAAATATATTTGATTGTTTTATTTTTTTTAAGAAATAAAATAGGAAATTATGTGTTAATATTTTCATACTGTCTAGTAAGTAGACAATATGTAGTTGACTGATTTACTGTTACGGCACATGTACAGAAAATTATTCAAAGTGGTTCATAAGCAGGGCTCGGGACTTAATGCACTTCAAATACACAATAAAGCTGTGAAAAAAATATTTAAAAATGCAAAAATGGTAATAGGATCTTTACCATTTTTGCTTTTTTAAGTTTTGTTTTTAATTGTTTTTAAGTGTATACAATTTTTCTAAACAATGTTCATAAATTTAAAAAAATAACAGTTTGAAATATAAAACTAGTATATAATTTGTTAGAGGTAATAATATTCAAATTTACAGAGGAGTGAACCCCTAAATTCCTTCCTACTGTAAACAGATCTGTTATGTTATGATTAATTCATATAGTATAAAATAAAAATACTTATTTATTAAGAGGACATTATACCCAATATGTTGTCTTCATTTTCCAAAGATACACCATAGCAAATTAGTATTCAATAGAGGCAACTCTGTAGTTAAGTTTTAATTGACCTACTATTAAACCGGATCTACATTTTTCCATTTTTAATTTTTAAGACATCTATGAGTATATAAAATATTAAAATTTAAAAATGCCTGTATCTCATTTACAAAAAAAAAAAAAAAAATGGCATTGTTGCACAGGTGTTCTTTTTATATTTTAATTCAATGATAAATTAATTCACTAAACTATAAGCACAGAGTTGTTTCTGTTAAATATTAATTTGCTATACTATACATGTGTATGATGAAAACAGCACATATGGGTACAATATTTTTTTAAAATGCATACTAATTTTATTTTATTTTTTACAGAACAACTATTTACTTCATATTGCATCCCATTTTCCAAATAATTTAAAATGTCCACAGTGTAAAAAAGAATTCAAACGCTTTGCAAGTTTTAAAGCTCACTTAAAAATTCATAGAACCGAAGAATCAATTACTTGTAATATTTGTAATTCAATATTTGACAATCAGGTAAATATTATTCTCAAATACAGATTTAATGTATGATATGTTTATATTTGTCAAATATTTATCTTAAGAACTGATATTTTAAATTTTGTTGATTCAAGAATACCATGTGGATCCTAAAACATGTAATTTTTTTGTATTTAGCATCGATTAGACATTCATAAGGAAAATTGTGTGCAAGAAAATAATATTAATTCCAATACTAGTCTAAATAATATTATAAAAGTAACCCCTGTCACACATTATACAACTTGCAAAACGTGTAAACAGTCTTTATCAAATATATCAGATTATAGAAAACACGTCAAAGAACATAAAAAAGTTAGTAAACGTGTTTTTGTTTAAAATTAAATTAAAAAATTATATTTAATTAATTTATACATATATATTTTTTTAGTTTGATTTAGTGTTGAAAAAACAATATAAATTTGCCATGAGAGTAAAAAAAATGATTAAAAAAAGGAATTCAGTTAAACGGTTTAAATGTGATCATTGTGATTGGTCTTTTAATAAATCAATTCTATTACGCCGGCATATGAGAACACATACTGGAGAAAAACCATTTGAGGTAAGGTATTATTTTTCTAAATTAATATTAATACTACTTATTTTTATTTTTGAAATAATATAAACTAACTTTGCTAACTGAATAAAAAAAAAATTGTCAAATATATTTCATAATTTTTAGTTGTTATTTATTTCTATTTTTTGTTTTGTTAACTATTTATAGTTTTACCTAAATTATAGCTCGTATATATTTTAAATAATACAATAGTTTGGCTTATAAAAACTTTGTAAAAAAAATATACAATAGTTTGGTCATTTTAATTTTCATTAAAATACTTATTTTCTATTATAGTGTCCACGTTGTTCAAAACACTTTACTCAAGAAAATTCATTAAACAGACATTTATTGAAACACACTGGATTACGACCATTTAACTGTGAATTTTGTAAAATGAGTTTTTCTCAAAAAGGTGTAAACTAGTTATTTATTTATTCTATGTTAAAACATATTATATATTTGTTTATTTTTTAGGTCATTTAATTAATCATATAAAAAAATGTCACGCTGTTGCTAAAGAGGCAACACGAATTCATAAATGCACTATGTGTTCTTGTGTTTATAACAGTCTTAATGCGCTCAATAAACATTTGAATGTATACCACGGTATGAAAACTAAAAAATCAAATAAAAATGTTCAAAATCATATACCAAAATATTTTGAGAATATTGAAATAGATTCTATCGATGAAACTATAAATTTAAATAAAGGTAAAATTAAATTTAAAAAAATAATAAAGTAAAACATTTGTATATATTATATATGTTTTAGATACCACAAATTTAGAAAAATGGCTTAATGAAGTAGCTCAAGAATTACAAATTGGCAATGATAATGATACTGAATTAATGTAATTAAATAGTCAAATGTAAACATATTTTCCAAAATGTATTTTATTAATTTTTTTTTTTATATTCAGCAGGCATTGTGATGATCAAATTTCTGTTCCATCTGAATTTGAATTAAATTTAATTGAAACTGAAGACTATGATATTGAAAGAGATTTTAACTTGTCTAATTCAAAAAATAATACTGAAACTGACAATTTAAATTGCATTTCTCAAAATGGTATACTTCAAATTTTATTTTACATATATAATATTAGAGCTATGTATAATTTGTTTAATATTATAGATATAATTTATATAGTTCCTAAGAAAAATCCAGAACAAGCAGTGCCAACTAAATATCATACTGTTGTTAAAAATCAGGTAATCATTTTTAAATATTTGAAATTTCATTCAATGAGTCTTAATTATTTTATTGGGAGTATAAACTATTTTGCCCTACAACGCAAAATATGTATTATAAAAATCCATAAAGCAGTTTTAAAATCGATTAGTTTTTTAATTTTAATTTTCAATAACTCAAACATTGTATGTTAATTATTGAAGTAGGTAAATTTTGATTTTCTTAGTACTCATAGTACTCATTTTGTCCAAAAATAATTTATAAGGGTAGATTATTTCTCTTTTCTTCTATAAATTATTGCACTTTTTTACTTTTCACATTTACATGTTAAACATTTTGAGAACCGTTTATCAAAATTAATGTTTGATATTTGTTTAATAGTGTATTATTATTTTTTAAGTACTTTATATATATAAAGTAACATGTGAAATATTTTAGACATTTATCATTACCCAGAAAGTACCATGAGGAGGCATCTAAGTATATTAATTGTAACCACAGGTTGAATAAGCAACAAATATAACGTTATAGACTTACACAAGATATAAACTATGGACAATGATGTGTATAATTTAGTATATTTATTATCAAGTTTTGGTTTGAATTTTGGTAATGATTGATTTACATATATCAATTGAAAATCTATGATTATAAATTGTATATTAATAAACTAACAATGATAACAATAATAACTAATATTACTGATAATCTGTTTTTTAATAAATTTAAAGTGTCATCATTATTCAGTTGGTTCAAAGTAACATGTGATAATATAGTCATTTTTACTAGTATTATGGGGGTAAAATTTTAAAAGTAATAGAAGGCTGTCCATTTATTATGATCTCTGGCTAATGCTAAATGGCTTTATTAAAAATTCGTCAAAATACTTAAATAATAATAAATTAATATGCAAATATTGAATGAAAATAATTTTCATAAATGGTTCTTGTCTAATTAATAATTATTTACCTATTGTACTAACTACATAGTTGAAATTAAAAATATTCTCTGAAGAATAAAATAGTGGTATGCATGACTATTGTAAGACTAACATTAATGTACAAATATAAAGCATAGCCTATGACAGTGAAAATTGAATAGAAACTAAAAAAACTTTGAGAACAAATTCTTATGAACAAAATATATGAACTGGTGTTCAATAATGTAATAAATAGCTGGTGTAGAAGAAAAAATCCGGAAATACAAGAAATTACCAAAATACCTTATATAAAAAGCTTTGTGAAGGAACAGAGAATTCAGTGGTTTGGGCACACAATAAGAAGATAAGAACTTAATAAAATTACAACATCAATTGAATGGTAATAAACAGGAAGAATACCCAAATGATCAATGGAAGGATGGAGTATAACAAAATTTGGAGACTGGGAGAAATAAATGCAGGACTGCGGTTATTGGAAGTCTGTAACAGCGACAGCCAAAACTCTTAAAAATACATGACAATAATGATGATGGAATGATTTCCAAAATGTCCAATATAACAAAATCGCTATGTCACTGTAGTGACATAGTTAAAAGAAGGCAATTTTTTTGGGCAAATAAAGGAAACTAATTATATTTGAGTGAAAATAGAAAGGTCATTTTTGGGTGAAAGACCCATATATTTAAGTTATTTTTAATTTTGTTTGATGTCATTAAAATTTCCATGACTAATTTTTAATGTTTTAATTATTTACTATTTATTACATTAAAACGTGAAGATTAAGTTGAAAATAAATACTAAATTTAAATTATTTGAAGGATACAGGGAAAAAACCAGAAAAATTACTTATTTCAAACTAAGAAAAACTGATAACAATATTATCCTTTTGGAAAAAAATTACTTTTCTGGATTTTCCTTAAACTCTTCGTTTAATCTTATAAATTATTAGATTATATGCAAAATATTTACTGGGTTTTTTTTTTTAGACTAATGTTTGTTACTTATTAGTTATTAGCTATTCTAAAATTTGTTTATTTCATTATTATACAGGGAAAAGAATCTGCAATGAATTCCATTTTAAATGAATCAATACCATTAAGTGTGGAAGAAACTATTGAAAATGTAGTAGTAAATTTAAATGATTCAATGTTATCAAGTGTGAATGAAACTGCTAAAAATGTAATATTAAATGAGCATTTTAATGAATCAATAACATTAAGTGTGGAAGAAACTATTGAAAATGTAGTAGTAAATTTAAATGATTCAATGTCATCAAGTGTGAATGAAACTGCTGAAAATGTAACATTAAATGAACATTTTAATGAATCAATACCATTTAATGTTAAAGAAACTAATAAACATTTAGTAATAAATGTAAATGATTCGATATCATCCAGTGTGAATGAAACTGCTACAAATGTAATATTAAATGAACATTTTAATGAATCAATACCATTAAGTATGGAAGAAACTATTGAAAATGTAGTAGTAAATTTAAATGATTCAATGTTATCAAGTGTGAATGAAACTGCTAAAAATGTAACATTAAATGATAATTTTAATGAAACAATACCATTAAGTATGGTTGAAAATAATAAACATTTAGTAATAAATGTAAATGATTCGATATCATCCAGTGTGAATGAAACTGCTACAAATGTAACATTAAATGATAATTTTAATGAAACAATACCATTAAGTATGGTTGAAACTAATAAACATTTAGTAATAAATGTAAATGATTCGATATCATCCAGTGTGAATGAAACTGCTACAAATGTAATATTAAATGAACATTTTAATGAATCAATACCATTAAGTATGGAAGAAACTATTGAAAATGTAGTAGTAAATTTAAATGATTCAATGTTATCAAGTGTGAATGAAACTGCTAAAAATGTAACATTAAATGATCATTTTAATGAAACGATACCATTAAGTGTTGTTGAAACTAATAAAAATATAGAATTGAATGACAGTGTTAATGAATCAATACCATCAAGTGTAGAAGAAACTATTAAACAGATTGCAATAAATTACAATAAAAATGAATCATTACCATCAACTATTAAAAAAGTAGCAATGAATGTCAATATAAATAAAACAACATCATCACGTATGAGGAAAACAATTAATAAAAAGGTAGTAATAAATACCAGTAGAAATAAATTAATGCCATCAACAAGTAAACAGGAAACTAAAAAGGTAGTATATTTATTATTTATTAATTAAATTAGAAACTTAATAACTTTTTCATTTTTAAATGTTAATAGGTATCTCCAAGACAAAAAAATAATCCTAACAAAATATCGAAATCTGATACAAGCACAAAATTGTAAATAAATTTGATTTATAGTATTATTTATATTTTTATAATAATTTTTTAAATTTTAGATCTAAGAAAAATAAAGTTCAAACATTAAATTCAAAAAAGAACAGTAGTAGTAGTACTTATAATACGAATAATAAAATAGAACCAAAAGTATTATATCTACCTAATATTTCTACTAATGTAGAACCTAAAATCACTAAAATCGTAAGTTACTATAAACTCATATATTAAATTACCAAGTATCATTATTTATTAATTATTTTAATACAAATAAAGATTCCAAAACCGGAACCAAAGGTTTGTCAGTACTGTGGTAAAATATTTAAAAAAAATGCTGATCTCGAAAGACATAAACGAATACACACTGGTGACAAACCTTATAAGTGTGATGTAGATGATTGTAATAAAGCATTTGCTACTAAGTCTTCACTTGATTATCATGCAATTACTCATTTGGGTAAAATGAAACGAGCTGTATGTCCACAGTGTAATGGGTTATTTGCTACCTCGTCATCTCTGAAAATTCATTTGCGACAACATTCAGGTAATTCATCTTGTACCTAACTATAGGTTACCTATTTAATTAACCTATTTTTATGTAAAGAGAAACTGTCCATTTTAACCACTATGCATAATAGGAACTGATGACTCGTAATTATTTTAATCGTAACAAACAAATTAAATTGGTTTTAATAACATGTTTATGTTTAATTTTATCAAAACCCATTAATTATTTTACAATTTCTATCATATTGTTTATTACTGGGAAAAGTTAATAAAGCTACTTTTAAAGAATTAATAACATTATTATTGTATTAAATTTTACTACACATACCTATTGTTTTAATATGTGCCTTTATTTTTAGGTGAAAAACCTTATAAATGTCCTGTATGCGGGGATCCATTTCGAACAATTGGACACTTGCATACACATGTAATAATTCACGAACGGAAAACAAAACGCAAATAAATATTACATACTTGTGAAGAATTTTTAGAAATAATTATATTTATATAATAAATAAATTTGTATTTTGATTTCACTATAAAAATAGTTTTCTTTAAAAAAAGATTATCTCTGTCTGTAGTGTATAAAACTAATGGAGGAAAAACTACAAAATTGATATAATTTAAAACATGAAATAATGAGGTATCTCAATTTTGAATCAACTACTTAATATTATTGATTAGTTATAACTTGCAAGTATGAATTTTGTTGTTTTACTATATATGACAGCTTGTGTACAAATACATAGGTAAATATTTTACGTAATATATGACAGTGTCGCCCTAGTCAAAGATTTCTGATAGACAAATTGTTCAGAAACAAAAAAAAAACAAATAGGTAGTAAATACATTATTGCTAAGCACAAATCTAATAAATATTAAAATTTGAGGCTTCAAAATAAAATTTTACTCATGGGATGAGAATTCATAGTTATGGTTCTTGTTCTTATGGTAATACAAAAATATCTAAAATCCGTAGTCACAATTTTTTTTTAAATAAAAGTTTATAAAGTTCACATTTTAACAAAAATTTTTAAAATGGCACCTTGTGCACTATTTTCGAATTAATGTGGATACAATTTTTTTTTTTAGTTACCTATACATAAATTATCATAAATTTTAGACTAAAAAGACATCCTAGTATGATAGGGACAGGTGCAGCCACTGTTATAGATAATTTAATGTATACCTGTGAGTAACGATAAACCACTATTTAAGAAAGACGATTCTGAGGGGTGTTCATTTGATAGTGATGCTTTGTCAACAATATATATGTCATTTTTGTATTGTTTTTAAGACAATATTAATTTTATTGGAATTGAATAATTCATAAAATGATAACACAAAAATACTGTCATTGGTGGACATTGAAATCCTTTTGATTTTCATAATTTCCAACACATTATTCAAAAGCCCAACAATTAAATTATTTGCCCATATTCTTAAAGTTAACACATACAGCAATATTTAAATTTTTCACTTACAAATCAATAAGTTCTTGGGCTTATACAATGGATTAACAGAGCAAAAGAAATATTATCTGAAGTCCAACCAATTTGTTTGAGATCCTTGTTAAGAATGGCTTTCACTTAACCCTGGGTAAAAAAAAGGACTTAAAATAATCTATATGTTCATCATTCTTTAATATTAATTTTGATTATAATTTGTAGTCTGTAGATTTTAAATTTGTATAGCCATTTGTTTATTTTGATCATCTAATGTACTTATTTTTTTCATGAGATTTGTTAAATGTTCTTGTATGAAATTAAATCAATGTAATTATTTTTTGATAACAACATTTTAGATTCAATATTAATAACTCTTACATTTTTCTTTAAGTTTGCCGTGTGTTGTGGGCTTTGTGGAATAATAATCTAATGATCATGGCTCAACATTTTTAAATTGTTATTATAATCATAAAAATATTTATAACTTTAATACGACGATAAGAGTGATAAGACTATAAAATTGTTATCGATGATTTAAAATTGAAAATAAACTCATAACAGCGCTACAGAATTACAGAATATAGCAAGCACTCTTATGACAGTGGTGTATGTCAATATAATTGTTTTTTAATTTTTAAGTTCATTACGTTAAACCAAAACGAATAAATATTGCTTGTATTATAATTAGAACAGAAGACTTGTAGCATTTTTATATTTATTTTGCACATTAACAAAAATAGCAGAGTAATAAATATACATAAGTGGGTAATGTAAATATCAAAAAATGTACAAATCACTACCTATTTTGCACCCGTTACTGGTAAATCCCACATTAACAAGAATCATTTAAAATTTAAACAAATCTAATCAATTTTTTTTTTCCAATGTTTAACCTCATATGGTATCTCTTTTTACATTTTTGCATAATGTATTCATACCTCATCATGCCAAAACAGATATTTTACCTATTTAATGGCTTTATATGTGAGACAATTATATTTAATAATATATAATGTAAAATTATAATATATATTAAATTGTTATTTTGAATCTGTACAAATTTAACTTGATTATGAAGTATGAATGTCAGAATCAAAATACCTACAAGCATCTTATTACTGAGTCACAGCTTTTTCATTTTGTAGCCTAGAACAACAAGCGGTGTTGGTAAAATTTTTAATATGCTATTAATGAATAATAAAGTTAAATGCAAATGACTTTAAAGATGATTTTCTTTAAAATANAAACAATATAAGAGAATTATTTGTCATGTGTTGCGATCTAGTATTAAATTAAAAATAATCTTCAAATGAAAATGTCATTACAATACAACTGTTAACACACTCATGTCTCTTACTGCTAAGTACTAAGTTTAGTGTTTAAAACTTTTTTTTATCATTCAAATACAATAGTAGTGATGATATAATAAATTTATAATATGCTATTAATGAATAATAAAGTTAAATGCAAATGACTTTAAAGATGATTTTCTTTAAAATAAAATATCACTTATGCCTCATGTATTCTAGGGGTCTTATATTATATGGTTGATACATATTTTATTGATTTTGTTAGGTAGGTAGGTACCTATTTGTATTATGTTACAATATAAAAATAAAAGAATTTTCAATTTCAAAATGGTTTGGTAATTTTTTAAATAACCAAGGGACATTTAACTTTATAAATAATCTAAAACTATGAAATCAGTAATAATATATGTGTTAAAAAAAAAGCATTTGTTAATTTGAAATTATATACAAATTAGTTTTAAAATTAATGCTGCTATATGTAAGATTAAGTTTATATTATCTATACGGTTCATAAACAATGTTTACATTGCCTACATACTTATATAAAAGAAAGCATGTCACACATCTTTCTATATCACTTATAACGCCGGTGAATATTATTAGAGTTAAAATATTTTGCCTCTATAGACAAATTCCTGTGGACGCGTTTGGCGGTAATACGAACAATTTGGTGTTGAAAAAGTTCCAAACCCAACTTGTAACTGATAATCGTGTGACGTTCAAAACCGGTACGCGCTTTTCCTCCGCGAACGGTACGATTGTGCCGATACGGGTATTTTTACGCGGGTAGTCACATTTTGCCGCCAAACAAACCAGTTGTATACGGTTTGATGAAAAAAAAAAAAAAAAAAAAATCGCATTTTGCCGAAAGAGCCCAGGTTTTTACTTTGTCTACGTATTATTAATGGCTAAATTATTGTTACGTTCCGCAATCATATCGCTGATAAAGTGACAATAACAATAAAAACGTACGGGTACTCAGTACGTCATCAACAAATCGACAAATGGATTTGTACGCACTGCAATACTCTTTAGTCTGCCGTCGCATTTGCCGTACCAGCAACCCGACCGTTCAATGTTGAAACGAAAATAGGTATGTCTTGGTATAAAATTAATTCAAACCATGACAAAACGATATTAATACTGGATAGTTATATACACAGGATTGATAAACGTAGCGGACTATAATATGTACTATAAACGTACCAATAATAATGTTTAATAATATCAAAAATTTGTAACTCACAATCATCCGACGCATGGAGTTGAATTGGCACGGCGTGAATACTTTGAGATACTCTAAAGGTAAAAGTAATCTTTAATTTTTCATAAACTATAGTTTACAGTTATATTTTATTAAAATAGTAATATGAATTTACAGATGTACGTACCTATAATAAAGTTCAAAACCAGTTCACGTATATTCATTTTCTGTTCTGGTATTATGGTATGCATAACTTTTTTTTTTTTTTTTTCTTCAAAATATTGACATTTTTTTTTTTCAAATTGTTCGTATTATTTCCCATCACTCGCGAGTTCAGCTGATGGGTACTTTTAGGTATTAAATTATTTTCAAAGTGCCCAGGTAAAAATCTGGTACGGTAAAAACTATATAGCAGGTGTTTAATGTGATTCGGCGAAACGGAATTTCGGCGAGATGGGATTCGGCGGTATGGGCCTAAATCGTTTTTACCACGTACCCCGCGACGCGCGAAAGCACCCGACAAACTGTTCGTCCGTCCGCAAAACACCATCACTCACTCACTCACTCACTGACCGTCGCGTCCGCGCCAAACGAGATGCCGCCCGCGCGGATATTAAAGTTACATCAATGGTAAAAACCGATTGGAAGTAGGTAACGGCTAATTAAAATTGTACGTATATATACGTTTTTTTGTGTCCAAACTGTTCGCGAGCCACGGCAAAATTCGGCGACTCGCGGCGGAACGTTTTCTTTTCGTCCGTCTCGTTTTGTTCACCCGTGCATTAAGATGTCGGACTAAGGAAAACTCCAACCCCAGCAACATGGCGGACCACAGACCTCATGGGTAATATACGTTTTTTATTTACCATTTTTTTTTTTTCTTTTGTCTAGGTACTCGTACCTGTTTTCTATTTTAATATTAGTTAGTGTTAAGTATTTCCACGATGTCACCGACAATTGTACACCATGATTGCGTTATTATTACGTGTTTTATTTTTCTCTCTCCCGCTCCGTTTTGTTCTCGTCATATTCCTGCGCCCGTGCGTTGAAAAATTTCAACCGCCGGGCGGTGGCGTATTGAACTAGGTACCTGCATCGGAGTAAATGCCGAGAGTGTAATTGTTTTAAACCATTGTTGCATTTATTTTTTTTTATTTACTACATCTTAATAAAAAAAAAAAAAAAAAACTTGCGAAAATGGCGAAACCCATTAATAATATTGACACCTTATTTATTTGGAAGAATATTTATTTTAAACTAAAAATCTAATTTGATCTACCCAAGTGGTTAAGCATATACAAATAAATTGCAATTTATTTCATAAAATAATTACACTGACCAACAAAGATTTTGTGGTCAGTAAGTTAATAGTGACTTCTGTATATAATTTTGTTGCTGATTTCAAATCTGATTTCAGATTTGTAAGATTTGCTTTTTTTTTTGAGATGAACACTAATTATTAAAAATTCAAAAAATTATATGGTAGTTAAATTTTAAATGCTAAAAAAAATATTTTTTTTTTTTATTTTTCCCCTTAAATAAAAATTGATTGTGTTATTAAAGAGTTGTGCAAAATTTATTATTGGTCTGTTAAGTTAAACCTGTTTTCCTGGATCTCTAAAATTTAATATGATAGTTATAAAAAAACTAAGCTAAACTTTTCACTGTACCTTTTTTTAAAATAATATTGTTGTGTTTACTACATTATTAGGAGCTGCCATAATCATTGTCAATAGAAAAATAGGTATGTGAAACCTCAAAAAAATTTGTTATACTGTATTTGTTATGAATACTTTTCCATTATAATTTATACATTAACATAATCTGAGACTTGAGATTTATATGAATTGCAATAATTATGTATATCATTTTCAAAAACATCTTCAACTTCAAATTTTCCAACTATTTATATACTATTCAGCTTATTTTGTTATTTTAATATTTTCTCAGATCTCTTAACACTATTTTCAACAAAAATACTATTTATATCGACTATTGTAATTTTTGGTGTATTTTTTTCTAAAATTTTGCAGTTTGCAGTTTTCGGAAATTTTAAAACTGAATATATTGAAAACATTTTATAGACTTGGAAAAATGTAGGAGTTGTTGGATGGCCATTCGATCCTGTTGCTTGACGTGTCATTCCAAAAAAATGCTATAGGTTAAATAAATTATATAATAATGTATTTTATATTTAATAATTACCCTTCTAAGCAATCTTGAATGGTAGACCTTATAGTAACTTTTCATTTTCATTATTACCCTATGAATAATTATGCAGTTGGGTATACATATTTAAATTTTAAATTATAGATAAATAAACTAACATCAAAATTGCAACTATTAATTCTGATTTCTTCTACTGGGTATTTGTGATTGAGTAACTCAAATATTCTATTGAAAATTTCTACAAATTGTTGTGTCTCATAGTTATGTTTTAATGAATTAATGCCTTAATGGTCTTGATAAAATTCAATACATTATAATAGCATAAAATATAAAATAAAATACAATAGCCTTTGAACCGTTATTAAATTAAATTACTTTAACTAAGTAATTAATATTTTATTATTATTATTAATTATCTGAGAAGCTAACCCATAGATATTTTTGAAAAATTATCAATAAACAAATGCCTTCTATAGTAATTTTAGGGTAAATTCTATGTGGAGCTTCAGGTCCCTATCAATATCCTTTTCATAGACATCTATGAAATGACTTTACCTAATGTATGGTTTTTCAGGAAAAATCTACAAAAGAATTATGTTAGTTAAGAAATTGAAACATTATATTATTACTTAAAAAAAAATATACTTATACCCTTAAAGATTTTTTGTTGACTAATCGATTCCTCACGTATTTTTATTATTTGTGGGGTATCAGAAAATATATATATTTTTCTATTATCATCTAAAGGTTGAGTAAATACATTTTTCACATCATTCAATGTACCATTTATTCTAAATTCTACACATAATTTGCGGTTTGTAGATGCCCCATCTGATACAAATTACACAAATACAGTTAAAATTAAATGTTTAAATACATTTCACAGTAATTTATAATAAACAGTATACAACTAAGACTCTGCAAATTGGATCTGCATATTTGTTTTTATCTATTTATAGTTCCCGTATCATTAATTCACTACATAATTATATTATGATGTTAAAATAATTTTTCATATAGGAATGAGTTATTAATTATATATTAAATAAATGAGGAACTTAATTTTTATACTATAAAGAAACGAGGAATTGAACGGATTTTTATATGCAAGGAATGTTAACAATACAATATTATAATAATGATTAATGAATACAATACATCAATTTTATCGTTGCATATATATATATATAAATTAAATTCTATATTATCATTAAATATGGTTTTATTGACAATTTATGTAAATTTGACATAAATAGTTTATATTTTTATACATTCAAATTTTATATTTACAAACAGAAAATTATTAACTTATAAACTAAAAAAACAACACAAACATTTTTTACTTATATTTTCAATTATCTTAATTTTCATCAATAACAAGTCCTAAAAAACAAAAACCACAGAAATTATTACAATAAACAAATTTCTTTTTTACCTACTAGATTACAAATGATTTCTAATGTCTATTAATAGTGAGGAATTGTTAATTTAATAAAAATCGAAAAATATAACTTGAAATATGTAACAATTCTGTAATGAATGAATGAGTGATAATATCTAAATTGATAAAGAAATTTAAAGATTTTCAAAAATGATTCATTAAACAGTATACCTACAATTTATTGAAAATTAAATAAAAAAAAAAAAATCATAATGTGCCCAAGAAGTGCTTAAAACAATGAATTAAAATGATAATTTCATCCGAAAAACCAGTTATTCGTCATTGAACATTATTGTAGTCATAGAATTAAAATCATACCTATGGCACCATTAAAACTAATTTGTTGTAAATTCAAAATAAGTCATTGAATGTATATTTTGACTTACTATCTGAGTTGTCCTCGTCACTCCATTCATTATAATCGTATATTAATGGTTCATATGAACATACTGCAGTATGTGTGGGTTTAACATCTTCTTTTATGTGGTCCATTCGTTTTTCTTCTACATTTTTAACTTCATTATCTCGTATTTTTACTATCCTGTTATAGTTTCGCCATGGCGACAATAAATACATAACATATTAATAACAGTTATATTGTATATCTATTAAAGATTTCAGTTCAATTAATTGTTTTCCAACTGGAGAATTTAAAAAAAAAAAAATGTTCGTATATCAATCATTGTAGCGTCGTAATATATCATACGTACAGAAATTACGTATACTTAACAATAATTTGAAAAAAATTGTATGAACAGTACTATCGATTGAACATTAACGCGCTTACAATATTATTTAAATTATTCAATCGAAAATTGCGTATACTCACAAACTATCATCAACCGTACACTTTTCATTAGGTCGGGCAGTCGATTTTGTTTGTGTAATACCGCGATAATTGGTATCTCTGTCGTTATAAGTTTCTGTACGAATAAACGAATAAATAATAATATGATAATTACTTACACAAATAGTAATTTTTAACTGTTTAGATTTTCGTCGGAATTTTTATTTTTTTCAATAGACGTACTTTTTAATTCCGGCGGAATCGGGATTTTCATATCCAATAACGACGGAATGTCGTTCTTTTTAAAATAATTGTTCTACAAAACGATAAAACGCATATCAACGTAATAATAATACATGTTAACTAGTCCATAATACACAGTACGAATTTAAGAAATATATACAAAATAATAATGTCGTACCGTGAATTCTCGACGTCCGCGGTATTTCGACGGGCCCGCGTCGTAACGCCGCGTTTGTCCAAAAGACTATAGCAAAAAATAATCGCGTTAAAACAATAATACAACGCTGTTTAGAAAAAAAAAAAAAAAAAAAAATTCTACCTCTAACAATAAGCATTTTTGTTTTACGCCGAGCTCGGCGTGACTTAACCGACAGTTCGATCCCAAGTAACATCTCATGCCGGCGTGGTAACGTTTGCACGGTTCCGCAGTCGTTCGGTCGTTGCGCGTTGGTGCAACTACTACACCGGTTTGCCGTTTCCCGTACACCGTAGGTCTGTTATAGCTACACCGGCGGTCGTCTGCACCGTCGCACATATTAATACGATAACGGCTGTCTGTGTTTGCGTCGGATTCTTCTCCACCATTTCCTATTTAATATAAACGCCCAACACGGCCGTATATAAACAAATGTCGACGCGTAAAAGTATAAAACTACGTATAGGACAATGGCGTCATTTCGACTTTTTAAAAGGTACCTATGTATGTTAACAATTACCTAGGCAGGCCGAACAAAATTCCAGCGGGTCAATATAAATTTTACTATTTAGTTATCGACCTTGATTAAGACCGATTTAAAAAAAAAAAATAATAATATTTTTCCTGTCGGCGCAGAAAAATTATAGTCGAGCAAAAATGCAATATTGATAAATATCTCAAATGACGCCTTTGGTATAGAATTTACAAGACACCGCGTGAACAATTCAAAACGAACGTATTCTGTATCGATTTACATTTAAAACTAAAGGAACGGGCAGTTTTTAATAATTATTATTAGGCATGTACCCAATCTGAGTTTCTTATGAGAATGCAGATTATCGTCGTCATTTAACGAATAACTGGCTTTTTTTTTCATCCAGTTATTATTTACAGTCAAGTCGTCATCTCTGGGCCAATCATAATATTCCGGAAATCCTTGGTTTGACCACGGGTTGTGCGAAATTCGACGATGACCGCGTTCCTAATATTATAATATACGATATACATAAAATTGTACCGATATTACTTATATAATAAGGTGGCAATTTAATTTAATTGTTGTTATATAATTATTACGATTTCCCATGAAGATTCAAAGTATTCCCGGACATGATTTTTCGCATATTGTACTTGGGTTTCATTATTCGGCACAGTCGATTCTACAACTTTATCCGTACATTCAACATCGTCTTCATCGTCAACTATCTCCCCTTCTTCGAGTTCATCCTCGAATTCATTGGTTGCACGATTATTATCGTTTCTAAAATAATTTTAAGTTCGTATTTATTTGCTGACAATAATTGTGTTATCGTTATAATTTATATTTTTGTCAATTTTATTCTAAAGCTGTTTTAGGAATTTAGTAAACCGAAATAATTTTCTTATTACATATATTCTATTTAAGAATCTAAATATTAGTATTTATTTCAATGCACACACAAGGTGTATTTGTTTCTCTATGTAAACATAACATAAAAAGGCTTCATTTAAACAAGTTTTAGTTTTTAGTTAACTCAATAACTATATTAATTGATTATGTTATGTTTTCCCGTGAAATGTGCCAGAAGTAAAACCGGTCCGAGTTATAGGTACAATTTATAATTTATCGCGGCTCACTGACTTTGGCTGGCGGTTAACGCCCACATTAAATTTATTAATTTGATAGCCAGAAATAACCTGGATCTCCAGAATGATTTAATAAGCTTTAATAACTGGTGCATACATAATGATCTTTTCTTAAATATATTAATAAATGTCAAACAATATTACTTTTTCCAAGAAACTCACAAACTTGATTATGGTCTAAATAATATTATTCTCACTCATATAAATCTAGTAAAAGACACATAGGTATTTTTTTTCACATTAAACTATCATTCTTCTTTTATATTATTTTTATCGAAAATAAAGAATTATCTATGTTTGGTCTTAGAGACTTCTATTTATTTCACATAACTCATTTTTCTTCAGTTATATGCTTAACTCCCCTATTAATAATCTATTACTTAATGGTAACTCAATACTGATTTTGATTTTTTTTTTTATTAATCTTATTGTTGTTTATTAATTTACAAGAGAAATTACTCTTGTATATTTTTAAAATAAAATTCAAAAGCGATTTGAATTGGTCGTTAATTTATGCGATCGATAAAAGAAAAAAAATAATTCTATCGATTTACTATGACGAAAGGCGTGCGCGTGTGTCTTTTTAGTATAAATGCTTACTCCGCTAACATAGCATTTTCTGATTCAGGTGTTTTCTGCGCCTCGTCGAACATGATGAATTTATCTACAATATTATAATTTATTTAAATAAACGCATATACTGCAATTCGACACGTACGAAAGATCTCTGTGTTAATGATTATTACGTTTCGAAAGCTATAATATAACAATAATCATTAAACAATATAGTGACAAGTAACAACATTTTTATGAGTACTGATGTAAATGTGTTATTCTGTGTAGACAACGTAAATTATATTGCGATATATTTAAATAGGCCAACATAATTTCCTAAACGTACATCATACATTGTATTAAAATAGAATAATATAATATATTATCATATTTATTTAGTTCGCGCCTATTGCGTGCGTTCGTGTTAAATCGAGAAAAATTGAATTTATATAGATATGTGGGTGGATGTAGTGTACGCAGTTAAATCGACTGCTAAAAAGTCTGTTCTAGTTCATTTACAGCCGCCAGGATATATAACATGACCAATATAATATAATTTGATTTTGTCATTCCACATGTTTCCATTAAAATAATTCCTCAGCCGGTTTTATAATGTTTTTTCATAAGATTTACAATAAAACAGTAGGTATAGGGTAATTTTATCATTTTTTTGGCGATACGGCGCATGGCGTGTTAATAATGCACCACTACTCTCCTCCAACTCAAACTTAAAAGTGGAATATCTTGTTAACGGATTGACGGAAATCAAAAATGTCAACACTAAAATTTATTTTAACTGATACTCCATCAATTTATGGATTTTTTAATATAGGTTGCCATTTGAAAATCAAAAGTAGGTACTTAATGGTTTTACACCCAAAAATAAGGGTGACCAAAAGTAACATAAATATGAAATTGTAGAGCAGTATGTTTCTTAAATTTTATAGAAAACGAATTCCGATATAAGTCAATACGTACTTTCCGAGATAATAAGTGTATCCACTTAAATGAATCACCTGGTAGAGTATAGTAACATATTTTAATTCAGCATTAAAGAGGTCATTTTTCGATTTTCTCTAGTTTTCTCATTAAATGCGAAAAATCAAAAAAAAAAAAACGAAATATATTTGTATAATATTACGATTTTTTTTTCTGTGGACAAATTTTCTATCAGCAATTTCACTCCAACTTTTTATGATAGCAATTTTTTTACAAGGAAATTTGATTGGGGAGGTACTTAAAAGAGGTAGCTTTTCGATTTTCTTCGGAGTTTTTTCAGCAAATATGAAAAACTTGGCAAAAAAAACATGGGAAAACTGGAAAAAGTAGGAAAATTGAGAAAATCGGTACAACATTAAACAAATATTATTAGGGGAACATGTAGAACACAATTAATTATTTTACTATAATATAGCATATATATTGTTTACAAATCATCACTATCAACTGAACTCTGCTCAGAATCGTTTTTTCGTAAGCAGTGGTTTATCGTTGCTTACAGGTATACATTAAATTATCTATAAAAGTGGCTGCTCCCGTCCCCATTATCCTAGGACGTCTTTTTTGTACTTAAAATCAAGATTTTTAAATTCATTTTTTTAAAGTTTTTTTTTACTTAGAATAAACATAATGCAATTTATTTTTAATTAAATAATTTGTTAAGGTTTTTCTGTCAAAATAGCTCCAATTAAAAATACTTTAATATCATTAAACATTTTAACAGTTAATTAATTTTTCATAAGGTTAATTAATTCTTGAACGAATTTAGTTTATTACACTATATAATTGATTTAATACATTTTATAATGAGTCATTTTTATTTTTATAACTTATTATGTAATTATAAGGTTTTTTTTTTTAACATTTTCAGTTATTGTTCATTGTATCAAGAAAAAACTGATTTAATTACATAGGTAAAGTGGGGAAACAAATAAATTCATCTGTGTATTCGGATATTAATTTTGCATCAGGTTTAACTCAACTATTTAGAATTTTGAGGTGTATTATTCCAAGGTAATTAATGCAATTGCCACATTAAGTTTGAAATCTCTTTTATATGTGTATAATACTATAAATCCAAATGTATAAATGATGGTTATTATTTAATTTCTTTTAGTTAAGTAAGATAATTAACTTTCTTAATAATGTAGGTTAATAGATAGGCAGGTAGGTAAGTAGGTGATCGTAGCTAATATTGATGATGTTTATCGTTACCTATGTTTACCTAAGTTAGGCGTTAAACTATTAATTTTAGTATTTTAAATTAATAATGATAGTGAAACTTCTTATTGTTAAAACTTAAAGTAATTTTAAATTATAATTAAGTGTTCTACAATTTGGATTTTTAAAGATTTATTTAAGGTAAGTACTTCTACTTATTTGGTTTTAATATATTTATTAATTTATAAATAATTTGTTATTATGGTATTATTAGGCTTATTACGTTCAATTATAAATTGTTCATTTTTAGGAATAAGATGACTATGGTCAAAGCTATAGACAATACAACCCTGACTATAATATAATCAATTAAAAATGGTGAAATTACTTTAAATTATTTATTGGATATAAACCATTTATATCTGAATATTCAACATTTAAATATTAATGTGTTTTATTTATTTAAAATTGTTCAATTAAAAAAAAAAACCATCCAATTAATTTAAAAATTTAGGTATTTCGGTATGTTTATTTTTTTCAATGTATAAAATGCCGACCAATTATAACACATAGTAAAGGTTCATAAAAACATTCAATTAAATATTTATAAATAACAAAAAAAAAAAAATAATAATAACGGTTATAGAACTAAATTTATGTCAAGTACCTACTTAATTAGTAAATATATTTACCTGTCAATGAAATTTCCCTCACATAATTAATTATAAGTTGAGGCTTGGCTTGCTTATTGTTATATTTTTCCCAAATTTTTAGTGTCTCATAATGAAATATTGAAAAATGATTTATCGGTTAACTATTATAAGAGACGCTACTTTTTTTTATTTCTATATATATTAATTAGTGTGTTTTTATACATTTTCATTATAGTACCATAATTTGAAATACGAGTATAACTATATGAGGACACGCTAGTACGCTACCATAGATAGAACTATTCTATCTATTCTGTTCTATGATAGAGTTACAATGTAGATACCATAGTATTAGAAGCCGTTAGTAGTTGCTTTTTAATTTTCCATTTAGTTTCTTAATAATTGAGAAAAATCGGAAAAAGACGAAAAATGAAAACTGATAAATTTACAACGTTACGATTTTGTAATTATGAATTTGTACGCTTTATATTTTCTACCAGACATTGTTCCAATAGAATAACAACATGAAACCTTTTTTTGCTGCAGTTTTAATATAGCTGGTGAGTAAGTAACTCGTTTTTTGATTTTTCCTGCAGTTTTTTTTTTAACAATTGAACAAAACAGAAACAAAAAAACTGAAAAATTTACGAAAATAATGATTACATTATTAAATTTTTTTTTTCTGTTTTAATTCAGTTAAAAATATTCGTAGAATCTTGACATTTAAACAGAAAACTTATGTTCGTATTTTCTAGACGTGGTAACATTTTAAAATATGTATAGATATTTTAATTTTGGAAGTTTTTTTATGTAGTTTTTATTTGGTAGATACTCTGTGGATAACATTGTTTGATTGAACAGAAATGTTTAAACATTGAACAGGAGGTTGATTATAAGTTTTACTTGGTAGTGAAAAAAAAGTAGTTATGCTCTTAATATTATTATGACACTGTTAAAAGTACGGCGTAGTCACGTTGCTTATTTATTAACATCAATGTTTCTGGAATTGCCTACAGATTTCGCCCTTGACGTGATTACACGACGTATTCGAACGTCGTGTATTATATTGCCTATTTTATATAAAAAAATATTTTTCGTATAATAAATTACTCATGCATTTTTCTTGGGTATTAAAATAATATGCGCACTTAAGGAGGAAACCAATCATTAATTCAATGTGACGTATCCCTTTCAGTGGCATCATTTCAGTTTTTATAGGGAGGGAGGGGAAGTTTTGACTTGCCTACAATAAAACTGAAAAAAAAAAACGCTCACTCCGTTAATTAACTACTATTACAATTTTATCTCAATATAAATATCCTTATCGCCTGTATCATTTTATACTTAGGTACTAACATAGGTACAGTAAATAAAAAAATTAATTAATTAATGAATGCGTCGTCTGGAGAATTTTGATAAGTATATTATACGACCGGTTTCGAATTAAAATTTCATCGTCAGATATTTTACAATCTAAATATAAAACGCGACTCAAACTAACAAACATAGGCATGCGTATCCCATTTTTCTGAGTGACAACAATGACTAAATAATAAATATATAAGTAGAGGGATACCTAAATATATTACCTATTAGCTACTATATGAAGACTTAGTTTGAGGGAATTTTACTTATAGGCAACGTTTATTTTATTTGTGCCAATATGGATGAAGGATATAGGTACGTTTCCAAAAAATATAATTGCATCACCATGAACATAAATATTATCACAGAATAGATAAAATTAGAATGGACACTCCAAAAATTTACATTGGGGATTTTATAGGAGCCCTGTAATTTGAACTAAAGTGCAAGCAATGTTAACAAAATGTATAATAAAAAAAATATTGTATACAATTATCATACTTATTACAAATAAACCTTAAAAAAACTGTAGCTCAGTGTGACCGGTATTATGCAACACAAATCAAAAAACATAATGACATGAATCTTGTTTGCAGGCGTGCGGCCCAAAACCAGCTTGATACCAGCCTAAATCCGCTACGATAGTAGCTCGCTGATTACAAGGTGGTCAAATTCCTCCCTTGCCTCTTCCCAAACGACGCCACTGCATCCACTATCAACCACGCACAGTCATCATTGCCCAAGTGGCGTTTCGCGTGATAACTTAAATCTCCATATTTTGATAATTTAATAGCAAGAGTGTTTTTTTTTTTAAAAAAAAAAACAAAATTCTTTCAAAGATTCGAGATTCAGTTAAAGAAGGGAGATTTCGCCAGCGGTATATTTATCGAATAAATGAAAATTCGTACAGAATGACGGAA